AAATTCACTAAATTCACGAATGGACGGAGATACGAGTTACAGATACGAGATATATTTCTGCGACGTAATCAAATTTTTAAGAGCTTGTTTTTGCAGGAAAATATGCTGATTTTTTAAACGTTGGAATCTTGGAAGATAACAGAGTATGTATTTAGATAAATCGATAAGTAAAAATACCAGTTAGCTTTATATTTAGGAAAAAAGGCAGGATAATATTGAAGTGTTATATTATTTATGTTATGTAATATTTATTTTTTAACATTTCGATTCTCGTGCAAGAAAAGTGTGCAAAACGCGTTATGCAAAACTTCAGAATTTGGCAATATTCATGATATATATATATTGTAATATGTAGTTCCAAATAGCACATATAACCGACATTATTTGGTAAGGCAACCTCGCACTGATTTCCCCATCCTCCCCTTCGAGCCACATATTACATCGTCACGACGTTTAATTAATGTTGGCATAACGGATAAGAGGTAGGGGAGAAATACACCGTGAAGATCCCTGTATAAGCATAGAGAATGGCTACGCGATTTATATATTCATCCTATTTATGGTTTGTATACACGTTGCGGTATTTATGCTATTTTTTGCATACATTTGCATAATTATCAGTTATTATTAGATTAATATCTTATTATACATAATGAAATTTTGCATACATATAACTACAGATATTATTTACAATAGCTTGCGTAAAGCGATTAAATTTTTTTCGCTCGATAGGTGTTCAAAACATATTTATATAAATTTTAATTAATATAAAATTATTTTTTGTTTTTTTTTAATTATATAAAATTTAGGAAAATTAATAGAGGCAACGAGTATATATCTTCCTTGAAATGGAATCCTTACACATACAAACTATTCTGTATCGTGCAAAATTTTCAATGCAATCTAACTACATTTTATAAATTTCAATAAAACAATATATAACATTTAGTCATAGATTATTATTACCAGTAGAAACATGTATCGATGAAATGATAGCAAGAATTATTGCACGTCGAATCACGATGTAGAGGTATAAGATGCAATTGGATACATTTAAAAAATACAATTACAGCATGATAATAAGGTGATGTATGGGCGAGATGCACGAAGCTATGGGGGCGAAAACCTCTCCGCGTTACCTCGCACTACCGAAGTTTCCAATCTATAAGGTATCAACAGTTGCCTAGCTGGCACGTTGTATACCTCCGGGACTTGCGATTTAGTATGTTGATATAACGGATGGGTGAGCAAGAAAAGCTCGGGCGAGCACCTCCTTCACGAGGCGTGAGATTGAAAGGGAATAAAAAAGAAGTTCCCGGGCGACTTGTATCGAATTTCACACTACGTACTTCCCGACTATTTACACCGCGTCTATATACACTTCATTATGTACATTCAAATGGTAAAACTTCTTCGCCATTTCAGGAAAGAGTTTCGAGAGCCTCGAGAGACATAAATTTAATCCGGTGAGCGTATGTCAATTGTGTGATTTTTTAGAAATATATATTTAATGCAGTCAAATCTCGAAACAAAATAGTATGCATTTAAATACAATTAAGAAAAAGCTCTAAACATATATATAGTACATATTTAATTCGCTGAATATGTCGAGCGATCTTGGGAAAAGCATATATTTGAGCAGTCGAAATTCGAAATGAAATCTCTTTAAACATATGAAATGTTACATTTTCCTTAATGTAAATTTAATTCGATGAACATGTCAAGGAAACGCGGAAAAAATATTTCATGCAATTAAATTTTGAAATAAAATTGTTATGCACCTAAATAAAAAAAGAAATTAAGAAAATATTCACACATAAACATGTAAAATATATAAAAAAATACATTTTTTTCTCTAATTTTTATTTTCAAGAGCACGCAGATGTTCTTTCCAATGATCGATCAATCTTTCGGCAAACTTGTGCCCCAGTAATCGTCGGCAGGATGATCTTGTCAGTAACGAAACGCGGAGGCGTCGCTCGGTCGAACTTCCGAAACCTCTCGCGGCGCGGAAGCGGCCGAACGAGAAGAACGACTCTCGTCCTCGCGCTCGCGCGTTCCGCCGTATATACCTTCGGGAGTCGCGATTCGGAATGTTGATATAACGGATGGGTGAACAAGAAAAGCATCGCTGCGAGTTCTCTCTTTCTCTCTTTCTTTCGTTCATTCTCTTTCTCTCTTTCTCTCTCTTTGTCGTCCCTTCTCCCGCGAAGGGCCTGCGCGCTCCTCTCTCGTATCCGGCAAAAAAGCACCGGCGCCGGTACATTGAACCCGGCAAGAGAGTTCCGCCACACGTTCGCGAGGCCGTTTCAGTATTTGACTGTTCCCCGTGTGCAGCGGCGACGGACTATCCTTTTCTCTCTCTTCTCAGTTCGACTCCCGTCGAGACGACAGAACGCCATAAGCAACCAATTTAAATGTAAATTGAAAACCACCACGGGAGGGGCAAGGGGAGGGAGGGAGGGGGGGGGGGCAAGCATACAAATTGTTCGACTCGCCGTCAAAAAATACTGCGAGCAAAGATCAAACGGAAGACAAGACACGCGGACGAGAGGGTGGCGTATAAGGGACCGATGGTCGAGATAGAACGAGAAAAGGTGCCCCGGAGAAGGGTATCTCAGGGGCGGCCCGACCTTCTCTCCCCCGCGCCCGATCTGTCCCGGCGGTTGGTTGTATTATCCCCCTTTACTTGCCGTTACCGTGAGAGAAGAAGCCGGTCGGTGTTTGTTCCACCCTAAGGCAAAACGGATCTCCCCGGCTACTATGCTAGACTGCCCTCTAAATATTTGCCTTTCCTCGACGAAAGTCGCGTCGTCCCGTGCGGCTCGCTCGGCCAACGATAGTCATCGCGTTTCGTCGGAGAGAAAAATTCACGAAGACATTTAGAGAGAGAGAGAGAGAGAGAGACAGAGATAGTTCCTCTTTCTCTTCCTTTCCTCTCACTCTTTCTTTTTCTGTCTCCGGAGGATCGCACGCCGTCGTAGAGAATTCCTCCGCATGCTCAACGTACGATCAGAAGAAGCGAGATTAATGGATCAGTTTATCCTCCCCATTAACGATTTCGGATCTGCGCGGATTCATCCTCCCTCTTGCGTGTGGCGAGGAATTAATTTCCCATTCTCCCAAGTTAGGCCGAGATAGCCGACTTACCATAATTTTCATGGATTCGGATCGCTTCACGACTGTTGAATATTCCCCCGTTTATTATAAACGATTTTTTAAATCAACGTCAGACGTAATAGGATACGTCGAGCGATAGTCGAATACTAATTAATCGAATCCAAGTTGCGTTTCTTTAAAAAAGTATAGCATAATAGAAATATTTTTTCTCTTTTATTCTAATTTTTGTGACATCGTGCGTTTTTTCTATTAAAAGAACGCACTAATTTCTATAATACTACGCTTTACTAGTCTCTATCTTTTTTATATGCGTACCATAATATTTCTGCAGAAAAATAATTTTTTAATCATAATACTTTTTTCTTAAAAATATTATTCATTGTGTATAAAATATTAAAGAACAAAAAATATAGAAAATGTAAAATAAAATATACATTTATTTATTTATATTGCATCACTTTTTTACAATTCAAATCTTTTTCGTTCAAAAAATGGAAAAAGCAATCGTTGTGCGTATATTTTATTGAAACTCACATTTTTTTTTTTTTTTGCAGAAGAAAATAGCGTCTATATACACCGATGTATATATAGGCGATTTCTATGATTGCGTTGAATTTGTACGAAATATTTTCCTTTTAATCGCTATCAACATCATACGCGCGTTAATCCGCGTACGATGAACGATACGGGGATTGATGCGGGAACGATGTAGCGACTAATTCATCGCGCGGTTTGTCATTAGCTGTCGCGTGCAGATACACGGCATTTTGGGAACATTTCCGGTTACGTTTACAATACCGGCGTCGGCACATAAATTTTTAACGACGACGCCGGTGTCGTATCGGTTATACGTGTACGTGTCATGATTTATCGATCCCGGGCGGGTTAACATCGACAGCCCCAGCCGGAGGCTGATGCAACGCGTCCATCGTCCAAACCCGGCGATAGAACACGATAGATCCCATTAGCTGCCGGCCAAGGTTGCGGCAACATTTCGCCGATTGTATCTCGCGGACACGTTCGACACGTTACGCGTAATCAATATGTACACCGGTCCCTCGAAGGGACCGTGGCCAGTCGAAATATCCGCGATAATGCATAGGCGCGCGCGGGCACGTCCCGAAACGCTGCTAATTTAAATTATTGTGGCTTTCAGCCTGACATAACGTACGCGTAAATTTAAATCTCTGAAACAGGACGCAACGCTGATATGGAAAGAGAGAGGGAGAGAGAGAGAGAGGAGAGTGCTTGTTAGCACTGTGGTAGCCATCAACATAATTAACCACCTAAGTGGAGACGCCTGTGTATCATTATTAGTACACGCCTCGATGTTACGGGGAAACCGGAGGGGACGGGGGAGATGGTGCTTACGAGAATTTAGGTGTGTCCTGATTTAAGCGCACGTAATGCGAAATATCCAATTAAGTCATAATGGGGCTCCCTATTGCATCCCATATAACATCGCTACAGTAGATATTTACGTTTGTCAGGGAGAGTGTATCTTTTGATACGACGAATGGGGGAGCCGTTCCTGATTTGATCCTCTCTTCTGAATGTAAAAGCTACCGCGAGGTACAATTCAGCATATTTTGCCGTACCTACTTACCTATCTACGAAATCAAAGGAACGTATATAACGAAACTCTCTTTACGCGACGACCTAGTTCGTTAAACGTGCCCCATCTCCCGCGATATGTACGTGACTATTCTTCCGAATGGCATTAATCTCGCCACCCTCGAGGGTAGGTTCCTCCTACGCATATACCCTTTGCGCGCGCGATATATACCACGGTGTAAAATAAATATCTCTCGCAGTATATAGGAGATATATTTGCGATAAATCCGAATACTGATCCGTTCCCTTTGCCCTTCTTTTTGCAGTTCGCAACGGTTATTCTTGCGTACCTGTTGCTCTCTCGGAAGGCCTCGATATCCGATTGAACACAGCCGCCCGAGCGGTGCGATACGGACCAAACGGCGTGGAAGTCTGGGCCGCACCCTCCCGTAGCCCGCACACAAATCATACCGTTTATAAGGCGGATGCCGTATTGGTTACGTTGCCCCTCGGCGTCCTCAAGACGTCCTCGCCGCCTTCCGGGGTCAGCTTCACCCCGCAGCTTCCGGACTGGAAGTCTCAGGCGATTCAACGACTTGGCTTTGGCAATTTAAATAAGGTAAGCGTCGATCTCTTATGTGTGTGTCTATGTCTTGTATGTGTCTTGGACAAGTCGCTGTCACCCCTAAAGCGATCTGAGAGATGTTCTGTCGAGCACATTGATATAAAAAATATTTAGGACTGCATAATCATGTATTAAGTCTTATCACTAATCACGCAATGACGGAATTCAATAGTAATGAATGTGTATTATTTTATTTTATAATAGAATTTATAAAAATTTTATATCTTGATAAATCAAGATTAATTATTTAATATTAAAGCTTGATCAGATATAAAAAAATTTGACGCTTTCTCGAATATAATAAAAAGCAGAATTTTATGAAATATTCAAAATTATATAATATGGTATTAAGTATATTAAAATTTGAAAAATTATGTTTGATTACTTATTGAATATATAAATATTAAGATTGAAATTGTTTCTGCAAATTTTCTCTCGAAATTTTTCCGTGTATCTCGGTATATTATTTAATCTTATAATTTTCTCTTCAATTTTTCAGGTGGTATTATGCTTCGAGCGCATTTTCTGGGATCCTACGGCCAATTTGTTCGGCCACGTGGGAAGTACCACCGCGTCGCGCGGTGAGCTCTTCTTGTTCTGGAACTTATACAAGGCGCCTGTCCTGCTGGCCCTCGTCGCCGGTGAAGCGGCTTGCGTAATGGAAAATGTCAGTGACGATGTTATCGTCGGCCGTTGCATCGCCGTACTGAAAGTAAGTGGATGAAATTTCTAGTTGGCGCGCGAAAGGTGAAGGGTACATCAGACCCCAGCGGTCTTATTCAGCTTAAGCATATCGAAATGCCTCGCCGATATTAACCTTTTTCGCGAGCCAATTTCTTTAAATAAAAATTTTAATTTTTTAGTTCATCATATCATATCATATCTTGAAATTTAAAGATCTGATTTTATATTTGAATCGAGCACTCATAAAAAAAATCTTTAGACGAAATTTTAAAAATTTGTTTTGTATTTAAAAATTAGGAATACATAAGTTTTTTTCTATTTCAAAGTTTTTAAAATATGTATCAATTTGTACGAAAACATATTAAATTTTTTTAATTTGTGTATTGTTAAATATGATATATTTATTATTATAAGAGTCATAATCTTTTTCGACTTTTTCTGATACGTATTTTATAACACGGTTCGCGAAAGGAATCTTAATGCTTTGCGTCTGGTATTTTTTTTTTACTTTACGAGGAAAAATCAAAGGGGGGGATCGTCTTTGTGTTCTCGCAGGGTATTTTTGGAAACCAAGTGGTTCCACAGCCGCGCGAAAGCGTCGTGACAAGGTGGCGCGCGGATCCTTGGGCACGAGGATCTTACAGCTTCGTCGCGGTCGGCAGTTCCGGCAGTGATTACGATCTTCTAGCAGCGCCTGTGTCATCCCCGCACATGCTCAATCAACCTCCGCCGCAGCCAAGAGTATTTTTCGCAGGTAAACATCAGATCCGTTCTATATTTGATAACGCGCATTAGCGAAACTACGAGAAATTCAAACAGTTAGATCTCTCCAAATTCTCCATTGATGAATATGTATTTGCATTTGAATGTTATTTGCATCCTTGCGTAAAACGTAAGCGTTTCCAAAACGTTCCGATTGATGCGCACGATGCAATTTGCCTTGCTACAATATCGCCTTTCCAACTTGTGTGCACACAAGTAATTTCGTTGACGCTATTTGAAGATGCTTCTATTCGCGAAATATCGGTTATCGCGTAAGCAGATTGGATTGACGCTCGTTGAAATTTAACGAAAAACTGACGATAAATGTCAGGAGAAATTTTGCAGCATTATTTTAACAGCCTTAACGAATATAAATTTTAAATTTGATAATGCGCGGAGATTTGATAAATCGAATACGAGATAAATGTCACATCGTGACAGTCGTTTCGACAAAGTGTGCGCACGTTGATCTATCTACCTATACGGCGCGATTTTCAGGAGAGCACACTATACGGAATTATCCGGCTACCGTACACGGTGCATTTCTCAGCGGCCTTCGTGAAGGCGGACGTATAGCCGACCAGCTTTGCGGAAGTCCTTACGCGCCACCGACAATGGCAGCATCCGCTCCGCCAGCTCCGGGGATCACGTCAGCAAGCACCGGCAGTAGCTCGACGTCTTAGTATTTTTGCGTCTTAGTATTCTCGCTATTATGTTTTTTGTCTTTCTTTGAGCGAATAAGCTCCGAGGAGAAAATGGAGAGCTCTTTCTCGAAACTCTTTCGTGAAAGAGATACAAGAAAAGCTCTCCGTGAGACAATTCGGTCTCTGTGACAGCTCGACGACGGAAAACGCGCTCGTTGTGTTAGTGCTATTATTTCAACAGCTTACGTTTTTTATGCGATCGTTCTCGGTGAGTAACTTGATCCGATTAGGTATTAATTCGATTGAAAGGATTGACTGAAAGAATAACTTGACAATTTGCGAAATGCTCAATTTTTTGTGGCGGTGTATCACGTTTGTCAGACATCTCTCTATCCATGCACGCAAGTATATGCTGCTCAAATATTTTGTCTCTCCATTATCTATACATGTATTTTACATTATATTAATTATATTTTTATCCATAGAAAGAAATAAGTATTTGTTATGGCTTAGATTAAGTAATCCTTTACTTTCTTTTTCGTATAATAGATAACATGCTCTTGTTTATTTTCTTCGTTCTCCCAATTTTTAATTATGCTTCTGTTAACTTATCTATACGATTTATTAGAATTTACAAGTTTTATGCTATATAGAAATGCTACATACAAGACATGATTTTTGTATAATTGAAAGGTATTATTTATATAAACGTGCACTTATACATACGTACACTTATATATATCAATATCTATATTTCGAATAAATAAGAAAAGCAGTGATGTGCTCGAAACTGTGTGTGAACCAACGTAAACTGTATCACAAAATGTGCGAAGTAATGCAAAGCCATAAAGATATATCATTTTATGATGCAATATATATTATTTCGTGATAATAGAACAATCAGAATAGAGAACGAATCTAATTATATTCATATAAAACATATTTAATATAGCAAAAAAAAAAAAGATAGACCTATAATCATTTTTACATAATATTAGTTTATCGCAGCGTATTTTATTGTATACATATGCTGAATTTCAAGATTTAAGTCTATCAAAATTGCTAGCAGATAAAGCTATCGAGATTTCTTCGAATGTTTGTTGCATTTAACTGCGTGCGTTTGGACCATTTTCTTTAATTATATTATAAATAATTTCTGTTTATATTCCCCATCTCAAATACCCAATCATTATAAAATAATGCAGCAGTTATAAAAGATAATTTTAAGGTAAGTTACGTTATGGACTATCAATATAATGTATTACATTCCTGCGCAAGTAAAGCGCATAGAAATTTTCATTCTACCGTTTCAGGCGATTACGTAAATAATTAATGTAATTACAAACTTACAAACTATACTGTGTTGCAGCTGAGATTTGACACATGCATATATGTGGAAAATATATATGTAACAGAGAATTTATATATATATTACAATTAAAAGAGAATTGTTATACACATATCGACAATACCTATAATAGAATAGAGCGTTTCCTCTCTTGCTTCCCTATACTATACTATAATTGTTACGTTATTTTTTATGAAATAAGTCTTCATTATGGCGCGCATTGCATTTTCGATAAACGCGATTGAGATAGGATTTATTCGATTAAAATTTGTTCGCCTCAGTTTTATATCGCGTCGAAAATAAAAAGGAATATTAATTTTAGGCAAGTGCAATAGCAGCCATTGATAATATTGAAATGCCTTTGTTTTCAAATTTGTAATGTTGGTTTAATCATATCTAATAACGTGCACGCTATTTATATAGTAACCATTCCATCGGCGCGCGCGTCATCATATTAGATATCCTGTCTAATTTGGTAATATTGAATATTCGATCATTCCGGTACGGATATTACACTGCATGCATCGCCGCGGGCGCATTATTTCGAACTGTGTACAGATTTCCACTAATGCAAGTAACTTTGAAACGCATTTACCAAAATTCTAAAGGTATCATAATAATCCATAACCCCCTCGAAATCCCCAAATATTCTGATTCGCAATGAAATTGAGAATACATCGATATGTGTACGCGTATATATTGTGTTATTGTCACTAGAACGAGAAAAACCCCTATGACCGAATGGAATAAATTTTGCATCCTATTCCTTTTTTATCCTCTACTTTCTTCCGTTCTCGAAATTAATAATTCGATGAGAGAGCGTATCATAGCAACCATCACCGCAAACAAGCAAGGGAACACGCACTATCGGATCTGTCGCGGTGAATAATACTGTAGAAAGGAGGTATCTCGTCGTATCAGGTCTCCTTTCATCGTTTTTTTTCTTTTTTTATGATTAACTTCAAAAGATGAGTCTACTTCCGTTACCTAAAGTACAATGCAGTTTACCGAAAACGAGAAAATATCCCATTGATGTTACCGGTACGGCAAATATATCTTACGGGCACAAGTTACGCGAACGCGGAAATTGCCAGGTCGCAAAGTACCATGTTAAATCTATCTTCGAGGGCTCGGAGGAGGATAAGAGGGAGTATGAACAGTTTCTTAAAACTTTGGAATTTGAGAAAGAGACTGATCGAAAGATCAGGAATAAAAATCTTCGCCGACGAGTTCAACAAGGTATTGAAGCAGATGTCAATAATTTTTTTTATTATTTACATGAGCGTAAAAGATGGACGAAAACAAAAAAATATATCTACATTTTTTTGTAATTATCATACATGTAATTTCCGTCTTTTACTTTTCCTTGAATTTTGATAGATTTTAATTATACAAAATTGTAATTGAGATCTATGTTTAATTTTACAAAATTAATTTTAGATATTAATTATTAATTAATATTAATAATTATATATTAATATCAGGTTTTCAAAGAAAATTTAAAAAGTGATAAGATTACGTACTTTAGACACTACTTATTTATCACTTAACCGCAACTCGTTACACATAAATCTATATCTTATGTCTGCTTGGATTCGACATATTATCGTCATTTGTGTAATGGGAGCTGTTGAACGGGGATAATTACCAATCATTAATGCGACAACGACTAATCCTCAGACATGTCGACATACGAGGAGAATTTGCAGAAGCGTAGAGAGAAGCTGCGCGATCTCGTGTTGAGCGACGAGATGAATCTGACGAGAGAGATCACGGAGGAGGCGCGGCGGGGTGAGGACGCGCGACTCGAGGAAATGCGAGCGAGAACGGAAGAGCTGAGGAAACGACGCGAAGAGGAACACGAGGCGATGGTGGCTGCCAAACGGATGCAGCAATATCTTGCCGCGTGTCCAGATATCAAGCAGGAGCTGTCAAGGAGACGGGCGATCGACGCGAAGCGATGTAACGTGGCGCAGATGGCGGATAACGAGGCAAAGAGATCAGCCGAGAAGGAATTGGACGATTTATGGCACAAGCTGATGCTGAAGGAGCTCGAGGCGAAAAAGCGCGAAGAGACGGAGGAATCCGAAAAGCGTGCTTTAGCGCAGCAAGAAATGGCGCTCGCTTTAACCAGGCAAGTGGAGGATAGGCTAGTGCTAAAAGAGGGAAGAAACCGGGCCAAACAGGACGAACGACGGGAACATCTGGAGCGGTTGTGGGAAGACGTGCGTCGAGCGGAATTGCAGAATCTCGAAGCGGAAAAGCAGAAGAGGGAAAAATTGAAAAGGGAACTGGAGGAACAGATTCTGACGGCGAAGAGGTTTCTCGTTGAGCGCGCTCGCGAAGAGGCCACGGTGGATCGCGTATTCAACATGCTAGTCGAAGAGGAATTGGCCAAGGAAAAGGCAAGCGCGAAGAAGGACACGAAGGCTCTTCGGGCGGAATTACTGGCTTATCTGAAGTATCTTGAGGACTTGCGGCAGGAAGAGGTCAAACGGAATCTAGAGGTAGAAGCCATCGTTGAGCAGTCGCACAGGGATGTCGAAGAGCGACGCAACCTTGCGATGAGGAAATTCAAGGAAGCTCGCCAGCGCGCTGCGCAGGAAGTCCTTCGCGGCCGGGAGGAACAGCTGAGGGCGAAGCAGGAGGCGGATGAGCAAGAACAACGGTTCAAGATGGAGGAGAGAGAAGCTCTCGAGAGGCAGATAGAGATGAACGCCAACTTGATCGCAATGGAGCGGAAGGAGAGTAGACAAAGGGCGTTTCGTTACGGGTTGGAGCTCAAGGAGCAACAGAGGTACGTCCAAGAGATGAGACGTCGCGAATC